CTCCCCCCGCCACCGCTCCCTGCCTAGGGGTTTTCTTATCTTAGAAATTTATCTGAGGCAAATTTCTCAGCAAAATTGTGTGAAGCAATTGTCTCTTTCTCTTCTGTCTCATCATTTTCAAAAGACCTGGATATGGTTCAAATGATTCTTCCATCTGTTTCTTCTCATTCCATGACCTCAATCCTTTTCCTTAGAGTTATATCTCCTTTGAACACTCATTACTGCCTGGGAACTGACTCAAGGTTGCTTGCCTCCCTCTGAGTTGGTGATCGTGTTGTGCCAGGTTCTCCTGAGAGCAGGGAGGTTGTGCGAGTGCTGTTCTGATAGTTTCCGGGCAACCATTTGTGACTCTCTCTGGGTCTTACTCCCAGAATTCCATGTGTTCACAGGCCAGTTTATGTCATTTGCCTTCTAGAACAAGGCTGGGGCATATTATGTGGAGAAAAAAGTGACCACAGAAAAGAAAATATTTATCAATAGGAAGATAGTCAATTATGTAATATGCCCCTACTGCTAGATGTTGGTTGTTGTTTTCTCAGTCTATTCCTATCATAAAAAAGTATTGTAATGAATTACCACTTACATATATCACGCTGTACACATGCATGGAAATTAGTAGAATCAATTCTTAGGAGTAGAGACATAAATCAACAGCGAAGGCATTTTTATTTTAATGGTCGTTCTCAAGTTGTCTCCACAGGGTCTCACTATTTTACACCCGATAGCAACATATTAGAGAAGTTACTTTTTTCACAAACCTGCCAATAGAGTTGTACATTTTAGGTTCTTGTCATGTCTATTATAGGTTAAAAATTATCTCTTGGTATAATTTTGGGTTTGTTATTCCTTTGTTCTGATCCCAAAATTAGATTTACTCTGAGATTGACTAGGCTTTCATATATTTAAGGGACATCTGTTTTTTTCTTTTCTTTTAACCTATAAACATCAGGTTCATATTTGTCCATTTTCCTGTTGGGTGCTGGTTTTCTACTACTTAGTTTTAAGGAGCTTCCGTATATTCTCTCTGTGATGTACATGATTTGAGAGTTTTGTAATTTGCTTTGGGTTATAGTGTTTTAATCATAAAAAAGTAGTGTATTTCTATGTCTTGTCTATATCGATGAAGTTGAATTTATAAAACTTTTAATGAATTCTGGATTTGAGGTCATAATTTGAAAGGCCTTCTCTCCTCCAAAAATATAAAGATATGACCCTGTATTCTCTTCTAGTATTTATGTGGTCCTGTTTTCTCTTTTAAACTTAATTACCACCTGTCCTGTTGTCTGTAACGTGGCAGTCCTCCATTGACTAAATTTGGGATCTCAGTGAGAAAAGAGTAAATACATAGTATGGAATAAAAATAATAAACATCTGAGTTCATTAATTTATTATTTTCAATTTTTTCTTTGGTAAAATAAGGCTTTAACATTTTATGAAAATGAAGGATAATTTCTTGTCGAATTTTTGGATAGTTTGTGAGAAAATACAAATATTTTTGGAAGAGTAGATTATATGACTAGTGTCCTTGGTTTCTTCAAAGTAGCTCTTTTTTGTGTGAAAGGCATAATCTACTTTCAGACAAGAAAAGACTAGAAAATATTTAACCACATCCAGGTATTTTCTCACTTTAGCATAGAGGAGAAAAATTGAGAACATGGACTTTGCTACCAGGCACTTCTCCCTACTGGCTATGTTACTCTTGGGAAGTCATTTAACTTTCAGCCTCAGTTTCTTTATAGGTAGACTATGGAAAACAATTTTTTCTTCATAAAGTGTAGAGGGTTGCGTTACATAAAGTGCTAAGCAAAGTGGCTGGCATATGGTGAAATTCAATTAATAACTATTTTCAGTTATTGAAGTTGAATTTTATTTCATGTCATTTCATAATTTTTTGAAGATTGAAATATGATTAGTAATATAACCATTTACGTTAAGCAGAAATAAAGGAAACACTGAAGCATAAGCTAATATGAATTTTCAAATGTGTTGTCTCATTACACTGATTGAAAATAGCAACTCTGGTCTATGAGATGAGGCCTTGGAGATGCTCATCTCTAAAGTATCCAGAAAATAACCTTGAAAGAACTCTCTGGCTGATGACCATAATTTGGCTAGTCCTACACCTTTCTAGTGGAGTCTAAGGTGAAATATACAAATCAAGTGATACATTTTGAAAAAGGCCCTGCTGTGGCAGTATCCTGTGTTTAAAGCATACATCAGGCTTTTCTGGAGACACCTCGAGATGGATGTTCGATGTATAGTGTCACATTTTTAGACATGTCCCCAAGGTTTTATTATTCTGTCTCTTCATTCTTGCACTTTAGCAGCTAGAAATGGCTTTGTTGCTTGAAAATCCTGTGATACCTCTTTACTATAAATTTAGATTTTAAATGCCATTGTTATTTGGTGAAGAAATGTGCAAATCAGCATGTTCTTTTTAAAGTGCGTTTTGGCTAAATTATCTTAACATATTTAATAGCTCTTAAACAAAAGGCATGCGTAATAATCACATTCCTATTTTTGTTTATGCTACCTTGCCAAAACTACAGGAGACAATGAAAAGCAACGAATTGTTCTAATCTCTGAATAGTAATAAATACTTTGTTACTGTGGCTTTTAGAATTTGGCTTAGTTCAAACTACTGTTGGAGAGCTAGAGGTACAGAAATGTGAGTTGTATTAATGAAGCAAATATACATTCACAAATACACAAATAAGTAACACCTGTTCAGACAGTGGCCAATTGTTTTCTGTTGATAGAGCATTTATCTTAGCCGTGGTATTGAAATGTTGGCTAGCAATAAAAATAACACTACTAACTATTCCTACATAGTTGCAAGGAGGTGTGCCAGTTATTACTACTAATAAAGATAGAATGCAGCATTCAGCGTTAACATTCATAAGCTAGGTGAATTTGAAGAAATTAACTGCTGTGAGCTTTAGTTTCTGCATGTGTTTAATGTATGTAACAGTACCTACCTCAAGACGGTTGTGAAGATCAAATAAGAATGTGCATAAAAAAACTTTTGACCCGTTGTCTAGTATGTAAGCACACAAGTCCAATTTATTAGTATAAAGATAGAAAAAGAAACACGTGCTTATTTTATTGGCACAGAGTCCTAATTTATACCTCTATATTGTCTCTTCATATGAATTTATTTTAGACATGAAGCTTACTGCCATACTTTTATATTTAAAAATTAAGTTGTTGATTTAATTAAAATCAAAATAAAAACCAAATATAAACTCATATTTACAACCACATTTTTTTTTCTGAAAGTCTGTTTATATACCTATTTTTTTCAGTGCTCCAAGACTTGCAAAGGGTAATTAAAGTTTTAGTCCTTTCTGTAAGTAAAAGAGTATGAGTATATATTCTTTGGAGGTTTAAAAAATTCATATATGTTTATTTTGCAAATACATGTTGTATCTGGAATTTTTATCTAAAATAGGCTACCTACTTTTCAACACTGAAAATCTGTAGAATCAGGTAATGCTCCAACTTAATGTCCTCTGAGTTTATTTTGGGACTGCAACATCCAATAAGATAGCCACTTGCCACTGATGTTTATTTACATTTAAATATAAATTAATAAAATTTGATCATATTTTTAATTTAAAATATTTTTCATTAAATAAATACTATTAGCAATTTAGTGCGTCTGTTGCACTAGCCATATTTCAAATCCTCAATAGTCAGTCACATGTGGCAAGTGGCTATTATATTGGATGACGCGGATTAGAACATTTCTATCATTGAAGAAAATTCTGTTGGCTAGTTTTATCTTACAGAATCTTAGAAACTACTCTATTGCTGATGGGGTAACAGGTACTGACCCTGTAAGGCTTAAGATATTTTTACAATCAGACGCCTCTCTAATTTTAAATATAAGATTTTAGATGAATTCTCAAGCTGCTTCTGCATTAATATTAAACTAATTGACATCTGACATTAATGCCGTTACCTTAGTCCGGTGATTCTCAACCTTGACTGCACAATAGAATCAGCGGAAAGATGTTTAAAAACCGAGATATCTAGGCCACATGCTATATGCTATATTAAAGACCAAGTAGAGTAGGATCTTTAAGCACTGGCAAGCAGTGATCAGGAATTTTTTTTTTTTTTTTTTTTTTTTTTTATCTTCTCAGTAATTCCAACATCTGGCAAAGCTTATGAACTCTGGATCCAGTCACACAGATCTGGTTTTCACATTTGTCACTGATTTTTTCTCATCACTTTGTTATTTTATATCGCAAAAGCACATAGCTCTTACCACACATTGCATGATTTACTGTTTTCTTTTAAGATAATGCTTCCTGTAATTATTTCTCATGCAATGTTATTTTCTCACATATTGCTTAATTTTTATTATTTTTATTTCAAATCAGAAATTTTGTTTTCTAGGCACTTTTCTCATTCTCACTGCTTTTGTGCTTTTCAGGTGATGGTGAACAAAAGTTAATATAATACATCGAAATCAGCAACAATAGAAAAAAATGATACAAAATGATGTGGAGTAAAATAAAATGACCCTTTACTACCCTTCTTCCAAATGCTTGTAAAAAGATGAGAGTTAAGGTGCTTTTGCCCTAGAGCACACCTTTTATTACATGCATAATAATTCCTCACTTAAAAGTGTATAAATGTGGGAACTTTTGTATTGGCATCCTTCCAACAAAAATGATTTTTTAGGAAAAATTTTAAAACTAACTGATGATTTGAAGAAGGCTTATGGTCCAAAAAAGAGCTTATATTAGGAATTTCAGGCAAATGCTATTATAACATTTTCTTAAAATAACAGGTAAGGAAAATCTGTGGATGGTGGTAATTGAGAAATACAATTTGTTAAATAAGATTTTAAGGCTGATGCTGTAGCTCACGCCTGTAATCCTAGCCCTTTGGAAGGCCTAGGCAAGCAGATTATTTGAGACCAGGAGTTCGAGACCAGCCTGGCCAACAAGGCAAAACCCCATCTCTACTAAAATAAAGATTAGCTGGGCATGGTGGTGGACACCTGTAATTCCAGCTACTCAGAGACTGAGGGCATGAGAATTGCTGGAACGCTGGAGGTGGAGGTTGCAGTGAGCGAGATCATACTCTAACCTGGGCAACAGAGCAAGGCTCCATCTCAAAATAAATAAACATTTAAAAAGAACGTTTTAAACTACTGTATCTACCAACATTTTGTTCATTTATCAAAATAATTCAATATGACAGAGACTGCTAGATGTTCCCCAATACCTACTCTCTCTTTTTTGCAAAGTAAGAAGTCGAACTTTTAGTTGAACATACTGAGTTTTAAAGAT